GAGATATAAGGATGCTGCCAGTATTACCAAGGGTATAGAGAATTTGGAAAATAAGAAAAAGGTGATTATACGACCAGCAGACAGAAGGGAAGGGGTGGTTTTTCTGGATAGACAGGACTATGAGGAAGAGGTGAATAGAATTTTGAATGATACAGCTACATATGAGAAACTGAAGAATGATCCTACAAGAATTTTTAAAAAAGAAATAAATACCTTAGTCAAGGAAGCTAAAAAGAATGGGATATTGGATAATAAGTAAGCTACGTATTTAATACCCTCCAGTTGTAAGGTTCCAACCATTTATTATTTACCCAAGATTCATAAAAGTTTACTAAACCCCCTGGCAGGACCATAGTTAATGGGATAGATTCTGTGCATGCAACGGTTGGAGAATATATAGACTATTAGCCGATAGTAACTCAAATGCCTGCTTATATAAAGGATAGCCAGTGTGTTATTGACCTGGTGGAAAATATGGAAGTAGGAGATAATACAATTCTTGCCACTATAGATGTTAACTCCCTCTACACTAATATTCGACATGTGGATGGAGTTGATGCTGTTAAATGGGCCTGCAAAGAAAATTCATTATACAAATGTTGGAGTTTGGTATGCAAAGGAATGAATTTTGATATGGAGGAGAATTTTACATTCAGAAAAAAGGAATTGCAATGGGAGCAAGTGTTTTCATGTCCAAATGGGATGTTATTTTTGCTTGTGAATGGGAGGAATTAAAGATCTGGAAAAGGTTCATTGACAATATGTTGGTTATATGGGAAGGAAGTATGGATTCTCTATTGCAGTTTTTTACATATATAGATACTAATGAACAGGGGCGGACTGACAACTCATGGGGCCCCCGGGCAATAGGGGATCATGGGGCCTCTGTGTCCTTGCCCACACTCTAAGCACACCCAAAAATGCCTATAAAAAGGTACCAGGGGCATTTCATGGGGCCCCTACTGACCCCGGGCCCTCGGGCAGTGCCCGACTGGTCAGTCCGCCCCTGCTAATGAATACGGCCTGGAATTTTCACCCATTCAGTAAATTTTTTAAACTTCCAAGTTTTCAGTCATGAAGGGAAGTTGCCTACAAAAACCCATTTTAAGGTCACTGACCATAATGGGTATATCCCAGTTTTCAGTTGCTACCACCCATTGTGGGTGGAGGGTGTTCCCAAAGGGCAGTTCAGAATTATGAGAAAGTGTTCTACATTGGAGGATTACATCGTACAAACAGAAATAAAAAACGTTTTATAGATAAGGGTTATGATCCAGGGAAACTGGAGAAAATAAGGTATGATATTAGTAAATGTTATGTGAGTGGGTTAAGAAGGAAGAGACAGCCCAAAAAAAGGAATGGATTTTGCATTTATTTTTTTTATTTTAATTGTCAATATAAGGATGTGAAACAGATTATTAAAAGTACTGGCCCATTGTAAGGAGGGATAAGGTGTTGTGTGCCTATGGTACCCAAAAAAACTAAAATTATCTACAGAAAGGCTTCCAACTTATGGCAGAAATTGGTAAAAAATGTAATTTCTCCTCCACGTATATCTGGACAAACTATGTTTGATTTAAAAAGCTTCTATCCTTGCAGAAAGTGCACTATTTGTAGGATCACATATATAGGGAGTAGGAAGATCGAAGGTTTTAGGTCCAATGTTACACGCAGGGAATACACCATCAGGAAGTTCATTTCATGTCAATCCACTTTTTTTACTTGCCTATTGGAATGCACTTGCGGGTTCCCGCTTGTGGGCCAGACAACTAGGAAGTTACTTGTTAGGCTGAGGGGAACATGTTACCAATATACAGAAAGTTGTGAAGGAACATAGCTTGTCTAACCATTTTAAAGAGGTACATAATTGTAATCTCACATTATTGATAGCGTAGGGGAGCACTGGAATGGGAGCAATCGTACCAGGGAGATTTCTAAGAATGAAACTTTTTTGGTTATACGAATTGGATAGTATGCATGCTAAAGGGTTAAATGTAGAGCTGGATCTGAATTGTTTCAGTTCAAATTTTTTATTCTTAATATCCAAGAGTAGGTGTTGTGATAGTAAGATGGGTAATATGTTTTATTTATTTTATAATTTTATTTTATTATTTTGTAAGAGGTTGGATATAAAATATTTATCTTTAGCACATATATGGTATTATAATAAGTAACCACTAGGGGGCAGTAGACCGGTACTGGTGCAGATCTTGATTTAGTGTTTGTAGTTCCACTCTCTGCCACTAGAGGGGGAATAGGAGGGAGGCATATATTGTATCAAGATGATCATATTTAACCCCTTGCCTACTGGGCACTTTCACCTCCTTCCTGCCGAGGCCAATTTTCAGCTTTCAGCACTGTCGCACTTTGAATGACAATTGGTCGGTCATGCAACACTGCACCCAAACAAAGTTTTTATTATCCAATTTTTTTGACAGAGCTTTCTTTTGGTGGTATTTAATCACCACTGTGTTTTTATGTCTTACTAAACAAACTAAAAAAGAGTGAAAATTTTGAAAAAAATTATTTTCTTAGTTTTTGTTATAAAATTATGTAATTAAGTAATTTTTCTCCTTCACTGATGTGCGCTAATGAGGCTGCAGTGATGGGCACTGATATGGGGCACTGATGGGCATTGACAGGCATCACTTATGGGCACTGAAAGGCAGCACTCATATATGGCACTGATGGGTAGCACTGACGAACACTGATAGGTGGCATTGACTGGCACTGATAGGTGGCACTGAAAGGCAGCTCTGATGGGCACTGGTATGTGGCATTGATGTGCACTGAGGGGCACTGGTATGTGGCATTGATGGACACTGACAGGTGGCACTGATGGGTCTACACTGATTATCAGAGCACTGATGATCAGTGCCCTGATGATCAGTGTACATGTCCCCTCTGCGGCTTACCGGCTCTCCTCCCCTCACACGCTGTCATCGTGAGGAGAGGACTGCTTATAACCGGCATTTCCTATGTGATTAGCTGTGATTGGATACAGCTGATCACATGATAGAGCCTACGTTATCGGCTCTTTATTGGTGATCTGCTGTGTCTCAGGGGTGCACATGTGCAGCTAGAGTGTGAGGATGTCTTATGACGTCCTCCCAGAATGAGAGAACCGCCTCCTTCTCGTCATTTCCTTATAGGGGGGGGGGGCGGGAGGCAGTTAATGACCCATTTTACTTTAGGTTATAATATTATATTCAGAATGGTTTAATTAAATAATGCCACTGTTGCTTTTATGGTTTATAATAGAATGCAAAGTGGGGATGGAGTTTATAGAATAGGGATGCAGCAGTATTAGTAAAAAGGGTCCAGCAAGTATAATGGCTGCCGAGGTCTCCAAGAGGGGCAGTATTGAACTCTTAATAAATGGATGGTATAGCCGCGTCTAACGTTCACGGCCTATGAGGAAGTCAATTTGATGACGAAACGGGTCAGCAGGAAGTGACATCAGATGCAAACCGGAAGTACCGCAGTGGCCATTTTAGAAAAGGTGTTTTGTATTCAAAATCCATGTAAGCAGATTTTAATTAATAAAGTGAGATTTTATACATACTGCTGCAGTATAGAATCTTGTCTTTGATTATGCATGTCGGGAGGATGTAACACAGAATATAGAGAAGAAGGCAACACTGGAGACCTAACAGGGAGTTTAAGAGGCGTATATTTAATATACAGAGGGTAAGGTGCATGACCTGGAGGGGAGGGGAGGTGAGGAGCACTAGTGGTGGTGTGGACATCTGGGGAGGATGGTACACTTGATACACTGAGATTTAGAGGAGGATTTGTGGAGAAGATACACACATAGACTAAATGCATGGAATTTTTTATTGGAGGGCAAGGCTAAATATTGAGAATGGTGGTTGTTGATCATTGCACGTTGATTAATATATAATTTTGGAGCACATTATGTCATTTGCAAAGTTAGCACATTATGTATTATGAAATTGGCAGAAGGATCCACACAAAGCAACTATCACAGCACTAGGGATGTGTGAAAATGACTACTAAAATAAATAGTGAAGCGCTGCCCCTTATTACAATCAGGTGGAAGTGAAAATGTGCACTAGTCTTCTGAAAAATATGTAATAAAAAATATATGTAAAAACAAAACTTGTGCATAAATTGCACAAATGCACAATGAATTACTGGACTTTATTTATGGACTATGATTTTATTGATGCATTGGTATTAGATTTATGATTTAGGTTATTGTACGTTTTGAGTACCGTATTTTCCGGCGTATAAGACGACCCCTACTACTTTTCCTGCTAAAATGTAGTGTTTGGGCTATACTCGCCGTATAAGACTACCCCTCTTCCAATGCACACCAGTGGGAGGAATAGTGCCCCATCATCGGTGTCAGTGGGAGGAATAGTGCCCCATCATTGGTGTCAGTGGGAGGAATAGTGCCCCATCATTGGTGTCAGTGGGAGAGAAAAGTGCCCCATCATTGCTGTCAGTGGGAGGAATAGTGCCCCATCATTGGTGTCAGCGGGAGGAATAGTGCCCCATCATTGTATTAGTGGAAGGAATAGTGCCCCATCATTGGTATTAGTGGGAGGAATAGTGCCCCATCATTGGTGTCAGAGCGACGAATCGTGCCCCATCATTGGTGTCAGTGGGAGGAATAGCACCCCATCATTGGTGTCAGTGGGAGGAATTGCACCCCATCATTGGTGTCAGTGGGAGGAATAGCACCCCATCATTGGTGTCAGTGAGAGGAATCGTGCCCCATCATTGGTATCAGTGGCAGGAATAGTGCCCCTATCATTAGTATCAGTGGCGGGAATAGTGCCCTATCATTAGTATCAGTGGGGGGAATCGTGCCCCATCATTAGTATCAGTGGGAGGAATAGTGCCCCATCTTTGGTGTCAGTGGGAGGAAATAGTGCCCCATCTTTGGTGTCAGTGGGAGGAATAGTGCCCCAACATTGGTGTCAGTGGGAGGAATAGTGCCCCATCATTGGTGTCAGTGGGGGGTGGAATAGTGCCCCATCATTGGTGTCAGTGGGGGGTGGAATAGTGCCCCATCGTTGTTGGTGTCAGTGGGGGGGGAAGGAATAGTGCCCCATCGTTGGTGTCAGTGGGGGGGGAGGAATAGTGCCCCATCATTGGTGTCAGTGGGGGGGGAGGAATAGTGCCCCATCGTTGGTGTCAGTGGGAGGAATAATGCCCCCTCATATTAGTATCAGTGACACCAATGATGGGGCACTATTCCTCCCACTGACACCAATTACACTTGCTGACCGATGTTCTAGTATGGTGCTGCTGCAGCCAGCATATGTGGTTGCAGCAGCCCTCTACACTGCACACTTACCGGCCGCTCCTTCACTCAATTTTCACGGGGCCGCTCGGCTCCGCCCCCTCGCCGGTGATTGGCCGCCTGTGTTCCTTTCCTGAGCTACAGTTCTGGCGGCCAATCACCGGTGAGGAGGCGGAGCCAAGCAGCCGCGCTAACATCCAGTGTGTTGTGGTGGTTTATGTAAGGATATATATTATTTATAAAGGGCGTGTCCCTTTCCCTTAGATGAAATATTACAGTGCCTCCAGCCGTTAAAATACGGCAAATATTTTTAATAAACCAATAATTTGGACACTTTGATAATTTGATCACCACTTATTATTATACCTGAATTCTTTTAGCCAATATGATTTCGTACCATACACACAAAATTTGCCTTATAATAGATAAATATAAAAATTTATTTATGTACAAAAATTATATATATATTAACACAAAACGCAAAAGACTGGTGATAAATGAATATTGGTACACACAATCAAAAATATATCCTACCAATGTAAGACACACTAATAATGTCTCTAACTAATTACATCAATCACAAAATTTAAAATGATATGATATTTATTAAATTTATTAATAATTAATAATTTCGAATATCTCAAAGGTTATATTCTTACAAGCCGTGGCCATAGGATTGCAAGAAGCAAGCCCTTGATATATGATACTCTGGTTATTAATATTCAATAAATTATGAAATATGAAAAAAATTTATAATATGGCAATAAACAATTTTTAACAGTAACACAGTATCTTTCTACATATATCTAACTACCCAATATTGTTATGATACACTGAGGTAATTTTATGATTCCACACAACAGAGAAAATAATTAATACAAAAATCACATAAATATCTCACCACACCCGGAATTCAGACTAGGCAACTCTCCCGTGGATTTAGCTGGCAGTGGAACGCCTTTAGACTGATATATAGGGCAAGTGAAAGATTCTCAGTAGGGGAGAATGTAGGGAGTTATAAGATTAGAGGTTTAAAGTTTTAGGAAGTTTGAAAAGATGGAAGAGTAGTTATTCAGCAGATCTTCTTCAGATGTCAGGTCTTTCCATGAGGTTTTTTTATGAGGGATTTTTTTCCTTAAAGCACATGGGCTTTTATATCCACTAGTCCATTGTTCTAAGATACCTTCCCACCAGGCTTCCTGATTGGCTAGTTGAGAAATGTGTGTACATAAGCTATTTCTCACCTGCCCGCCAGGTGGCGGTCATGTATCACAGAACAATGTGAGTATTTGAGATGACTCATACCTTGGGTGGAATCTTCAGGTAATTTCAGGAATAAAATATACGGCTCTATCCAGATATAGCAGTGATACCTATATTATTCTAAATAGGGACCATGGAATATAGGTGTATATTCGGTTATTCCTCCTTGAAGTACCATCCTGTTTGTTTCCTGATAAGACATGTAACTAATGCTAGTCTATAATACATCTTACTTCCCATCATCTCAATACTCAAATTAGTGATATATAGTTCCCATTGCTGAGTATTTAGTGGTGTTTAAAATCTATAACATCTTATTTATGATATGTTTTTGTAGTATATTTTTGTCATGATATATACAGTGAACTTTTAAACTTAAATGTCCTGAATTTCACCCCTTTGTTTCAGAATCAACATTTTCTCTGTGTAGGGAAAAAAAAAACTCTCTATTTGCATGGCCCTTGTATTGGGCTCATGGTAAACAATTGTTAATGCTTTCACCCTTGGTGAACAATAGTATATGGTAATAGTTTCAGTTTCAGAGGTGTTAGTTCATCACAACTCTACAGGTTTTGGTTAAGCTTTCAACCAGTTGAGTTCCCGTCTCATTATTGTTGAAATGTTTAAAAGTCAAAGTCCTATCTGGCTATGTGTTTGACTTTTCTGTATGTGCATTCTTCTCAACCTCCATATACAAATAATCCTTGTTGACAGTTCAAACAGGCTTATTGTCTTGGAAAAGACTCACTTCCCCCATTCTCCATTTCTTAACTAGAATCTTGATGGTTCAACCAAGACAAAATTAACTCTCTTAGCATCCGGCTATCCTGAGCTGTTTGCCATATAATATTATGTCTTGATAAAAGTCATATTTTTGAGACATGATTCAAAAGCCCACAACAAATCCCCCTTTGTTTTTGGGGTATAGGCACGCGTAGAGGGGTGTCTGTATCGAAAAACATGAGTGGGACTTTTGGTTAGAGTGATCGTTCGTCTTTCTCCGGTGAAGGGAATGAAAAAAAAAAAAAAATTTTTTTTTTTTTTTTTATAATAAAATGGCAGCGGTGATGCTGGTTGGTCCTCAACTTGACTCGGCGTCTTTAGATGGACACTTCCGATGACGATCCTGGTCTTGTGATGAGGCCGGCCTGGCCTGGCACATCCACCTTGGGGTCCATGGGTCCTCCGCACGACAGGTCTCTTAGACGGTCTCCTAGGCGGGTCTTTTCCTCTGGACTGGCCCTTGGTGGCCTGGGACATCAGGTTTATCGTCTCGGATCGATCTCTGGCATCTGGTCTTTCCCACAGGACATTATAGCTTCCTTCTAGGGTCCGGTCATTGACACCCTCCGATCGCCGGTCTGGTCATAGTCTGGGCCTTCCTTTCTAAATTATTAAAATGAACAGTTTAAGTATTGGATATACATAAAATTATATTACTGGATCCTGTAAGACAAAAGATGAATTATATGTTCAAAGGAAATTTAATGATGATCTCAATATCTCCAGATAGGAACTGGTGGGTTAGTCTTCCAACAAACTGCAATTGAGACTTTGGATGGCAAGCACGTAATTGGTTGATGTGCACCCATCTATCACTGATTTCACCATACCGGGTAACCTGCAATTTATATGCGACCGGAGAGATTTTATCAATGATAGAGAACGGACCTTTCCAAGATGGAAGGAATTTCCGTTCCTTGATCTGGTCTCTTGCAAAGTTGTATAGATAGACTTTGTCACCAATCTCATATTCCTTCTTGGAGGTTTTGAGATCATAGTATGTCTTAGCACTAGTTGCAGCTCTTTCCAAATTTCGCTGGGCAAAGGCAAAAGCATATTGCAGATGTTTACGTAAATCCTCTATGTACTGGTGTGTGGTGGTAGCATTGATCAAATTTTGATCTGTAGTGCGATACAATAAGTGCTGGGGCAGTACCATCCGTCTACCTGTCATCAGTTCAAAAGATGACATTTTTGTAACTGTATTCGGAGTAGCCCTCAACGCCATCAGGACCAGCGGGAGTTTGACATCCCAATCTTTGCCTGTTTCCTTAACAAATTTCTTAAGGACATTAACGATGGTCTGATTGTATCGTTCTACACCACCACTAGAGGCTGGCCGATAGGCGATATGCAATTTCCTTTTAACCCCCAAAATTTTCCACAATTTGGCCATCACTTCGCTAGTGAAGTGCGATCCTCTATCAGACTCTATCCTCTGAGGTAAACCAAAACGAGAAAATACATGATTTATTAGCAATGCAGCACATGTCTCGGAGCTATTATTTGGTGCTGGTATACATTCGACATACTTGGTGAATAAACATGTAACTGTTAACATATACCGATTTCCTCGTGAAGATTTTGTTACTGGCCCAATAAAATCCATCTGAAGGTCTGACCAAGGCATACATATCCCCCTCTTCTGGAGAGGTGCTCTGTGAGTTGGCTTGGTAGGTTGAAATTGGGGGACATATTAGGCAACCTTGGCAGTATTCCTTCACATCACGTAACATATGAGGCCAGTAGGCATATCCCGCAGGATCTCATACGTGATCTTCTCTCCACGATGACCGGAAGTGGGAGCATCATGGGCATGCTGTAGCATCAAACCTCTAAATTTAAGTGGACGACCCATTGTTGTACGCCCACCCTTTGAGGTTCGTATCAACAATCCCTGGTATAAAGAGAATTGGGATTTGGATTTCATTAAGATACGTAAATCCTCCTTCCCACTACATACTTCCTTATTTATGGGATTTTGGTTGGGATCTTCTATATGACTATAAAACAAGCCAATTATTGGGTCTTCTTTTTGGGCAGTAATTAAATCCTCACTAGGAGAATCGTGACTCCACTGTAATGCATTCGGATCACCAGCTGTTTTGGCCTGTTGCCTGGTGACAGCTTCAACCTGTACGGTACCTAAAAATTGGTCAATGTCTAACAGTTCACCGGTGATTGCCCCTTCCTTGGCTAGAGAATCGGCCAGATCGTTCCCTTCTTTCTCGGCACCTAGAACCTTGGAGTGGCCTTTGGTCTTCTTGAAGTGCAGGGTGAGATCATTGGATCTTACCAGTTCATCGATGTGACAAAAGAGCTTACCATGTTTCACGGGTTTGTGATTACTCTTGTTCATGTTGTTTCGCTTCCACCTAGGGAAATACTCCACAAAACTATTCCTGACATAATTGGAATCGGTTATGATGGCACACTCTCTGATGTTGAACTCTATAGCCATCTCAACTGCTCTAAGAATTGCAGTAAGTTCAGCAACCTGACTGCTTTTTTGGTCCAAGTTTGTATCCCACAGAAATTGGGGTGACACCTTGGGTCCAAACGATTCCAATACCTGCCACTAGTTGGAGCTGTTCCCCATCCTTGTGATGAAAAGCACAACCATCCACATATACAACACGGCAGCTGTTTACAGTATTCTTCATCGTAAACCTTGTAGGGAGAGAACAGTTGTTCTTCCAGAAAGTCAGTGTCCGGGGCCCTCCATAGTAGGCGTAGTTGCGGAACAATCATGGAGCTCGGCTAGGCCCTGGGCTACTGGACTTTCCTTGTTCTGTTTGTACCGAATTTCAAGAGGCCACCCCCTTGCAAAGACAAAGTCCAA